AACTCTTTTGATTAAAGATATGTGTGAACACACTACATACTCAAAACATGTAGAAATGTACAGTAGTTTAAGCAATAATTTTTATATATAATAAATAAGTTCTCATATAATAAATGTAAATTGGACAGCCTTTATTGACCTGACTCTTCCCCATTGGGCATGTTTTTTTTAACCTCAACACGTTCTCTGATCTTTTTTATAAGAAGTTTTGAGTAAATTGCTTTTAAAGGCCTTTTCTCTTTTTACTTTATTTGTGAAATAAGAACGTTTTTAACTGTGCTCATACTGTAGAATTAAATCAGATGCACACACAGCATTCAGCCAGTGTTTAATCTTCTGGAAAACAAAAGCTTAGTATTTCCTGTAAAGACAAGTGGAAATGAACCATTGAACCATTTAATGTGATGGGGCAAATTAGCATGTATTATCATCACTGTCACTGACATATATATATATATATATATAAAAACATATACGTGAGTACACCCCTCACATTTTGATATCTTTTCATGTGACAACACTGAAGAAATTACACTTTGCTACAATGTAGTGAGTGTACAGCTTGTATAACAGTGTATATTTGCTGTTTCCTCAAAGTAACACATCACACAGCCAGATGAACATTATATAATTTGGCCTCTGATTCCCTGTGTGTGTTGAATAGATGACACAACCTTGGAGGATCATAGACTTCAGCATGTGTCACTCTGTCAAAAGTTGCCGTAAAGAAGATTGATGTTGAAAAGCCTTAATTTCCATTTTCTTAAAGGCCCTTAGTGACGTGCTGAATTAGTTATTGTACTCCCTGTATAATATTTGACCCGGTTCATTGGGAGTTTTATTTATTTATTGGAAGTTGCTCCCATCTGCACAGGAAAATAACTTTTCACCCATCCTGTCTGCTTAGGGAAATAACTTTGACTCCATCACCAGGCTGTAATATTTTACTTGTTATTACCTTCATGTCAAAGTGAGAGGTCTGTATATAGGTTATTGAAGACCCCTTCATATAATGACAGACATGTAAAAAACAGTAACTGCCTTATTTAAAATATAGCATCAGGTGATGGGAAAATACTGTTTATAGGACTCACATGCTTTCATTTCAAGGCATTTAAATCTGCCTATACCCATTTAGTATTAATATAGCAATTTATATGGTACCACTTTTCAACTGACAATGGGAAAATGAAATGTTAATAAAATGAAATATCTGAGATGGAAATCAGAGAAAATGGATTTGGCTGAACTTCTGTCCATTCTCTCTTTTGCGTTCATCATACATAACTATTTAATTCAAGTTTCACACACATATGTATCAAATGTAACTATAATTACATTTACGTATGATACAAAGAATTACGTTGACTCCTTTATGACTGTCTTTAAGCATCCAGCCTCAACAAATCATCAGAAATGGAACTCTTATGGCGCAAAATATGTTGATGTTCTTTTTTTAGTTTCACACAGAGAAATGTTTCATTGTCAAACCTAATTAGGTTTCCCCCATGTAGTTATCCACAGAGGCGTCAAAGGAGCTGGAGCCTCGTTAAATAGGTATAACATTAGAGTTAGTTTAGTTTATTTGCTCATTAAATCAGTAAAAGCCAAAAAGGTAAACAGAAAAGGAACACGGGATGAGTTCTGAGACAAATGGCAAGGGGATGCTGATAAAACAGCCTGATGTCAAAATAGAAAAGATGAACATTGACTACCAGATACAGAACAATTGGGCTGAAGACAACTGACACTGAAATTAAATACAAGAAAGATTGGCAGAAAAACGTCAAAATGCGACATAAAGCGAGTGTGGCGGCATGTGTTCAAGAGGCAAGAGTAGGAATGTACTTACAAAGAAGGGTTGTATTTTGTGTTTATGTGTTTGTCTCCATTAGAATCAGAAATACTCTATTGATCCCCGAGGTAAAATCTTTTGTTGCAGTTATACCCGTTGCACAACAATGCAATAGGAATAGAAATAATAATAGAAAGTAGGAAGATAAAGAAATATATAAATATAAGAGTATAAATATAAAATATGAAGAAAAATATAAAGGTGTGGATATGTACAATATTTTCATTATTAAAGAATTGTCATGGTGAACAGTGATAATAAATAAATAACAGAAGAGAATATTGCACATTAAATATTAAACAGATAATAAGGTCCAGTTCAATGACTAACTAAGACACTTAGAGGGAGGAGTTATAAAGCTTGATGGCCACAGGCAGCAATGACTTCCTGTGGCGCTCTGTGGTGCGTTTTGGGGGGATGAGTCTTGTCTTGATGAGTCCTGTGTTTGAACAGCAAGTCATGGAGTGGGTAGGAGACATTGTCCACGGTGACATGTAGCTTGGACAGCATCCTCCTCTCTTACACCACCGACAGAGAGTCCAGCTCCACCCCCACAACGTCACTGGCCTTGTGGATCAGTTTGTTGAGTCTGTTGGCGTCCTCTCCCCTCAACCTGCTGCCAGGATAGCACTGGCCACAACAGACTTGTAAAACATCCTCAACATCGTCCTGCAGATGTTGAAGGACCTCAGCCTCCTCAGAAAATAGAGACGGCTTTGGCCCTTCCTGTAGAGGGCTTGAGTGTTTTTTGACCCAGTCCAGTTTATTGTCAATGTGCACTCCCGGTATCTGTAATCCTCGACAGTGTCCACACTGACCCTCTGGATGGAAACAGGGCTCACTGGTGTCAGTGTGTGTACAGTTAGTGTTTTTGTGTAGCCTATATGTGTGTCTGGATGAATCCTGTTTGGGTTCAAGGGAAGAGGAATCAAATATTTCTTGTTGATTGTTTCAACTCGTCTAACAACTATTGGTCTTCTCGCTCCAGGCACCAGAATCAGCACGTTCACCCAGGCCGATCTGGCATCGCGCAGCATCCAGTACGCCCACACCAGTGAAGAAGAGAAGCATGCCGACCAATTCTCCTTCACCGTGTCCGACGGGACAAATGAGGTGAATGACGGGGTTGACTCTAATCAATAAAAAGGGCTTTGAAGACCCATTTAGGGGGGCTGGTTCAGTTTTGTCCAACAATGTGGTACCTGGAAGAAAATTGTAATGATACTTGCTGGCTTCTGCTTGTGACCTCCCATAACAGGTAACAGTCACGGAGTGCATGTCTATGTGTGGACGTGATACATGAGCAGTTCAGCCAGCACTGGCCCACAAGTAATTGCATGGGGCCCTGCAAATCCTTTGTTGTTTGTTTTTTTCTTTTTTCTAATGAAACATAAAGCCTAGAACAGGGGGCCCCCTGCTCAATGGATAGACCATGTCAAGCCAATCAAAATCTCTGCTGGTGACAGCTTTGGAGTCTCTGACTGCATCACCCAAAGAGGGGACGTGTCCGCATCTACTATACTGCAAATACAATTAACGCCATATATAAATGAACCATACAGATTATTTGTGCAAGAATGAGCTCATCTTTTGGTGACTATTTTGAATTGTATGACTGCTGTTAAGTGTTGGGTTGTATTGTTTTTCTGCCAACATGCCTGGTGTCAAGAGCTGGATCACCCTCATTAAAGGTCTGAGGACATAATTCTTGATGAACATCTATTGAATGAAGGCAGGTTTACTACAAATATGTGTGATTGTGTATTAATGTGCAAGGATTATGCCCACTTTATAGATTGCCCTAATTGTCCTGCAATATTGTGGTAGTACAATATCAAAGGGTTTTCATGTTGTCCTCACAAAACAAATATTAGTTTTATATAGTTTTATTTATTTATTTCCCCAGAGATTTTTAGAAACCCGAAGAAGTGAAAGTATTCAGTATTTCACAGGAAAAACAGTCGAGAACAGTTTAAAATAGCAACATGATATATCATCTTGTGACCCCTTAGATTTGTCTTATTTGTCTAACTATAATATTCAGTATTCAGAAGTCTGTTACTTAGATTAATTCACTGCTGAATCAGTTTGCCACAGCAGTGCTTGGGTTCATGTTTCCACACAGTGAGTCATCCATATTTTAAAGCTATAATGTGTAAAATTGAGACTATTCTCCACCTGTCAAATTCATACTACATACAAAATAGGGGCATGCATATCACATATCAGGTCATAACTGCTGCTAACTTAGCAGTCCTTGTAGCTGATGGAGTCTGGGCGAGCAAGCTCACTTGCACACATCTCCAAGCTGAAACTACAGGGAGGATACCTGAGTTCTACTTTCTGACTATCGCCTCTTGAGGCACGAGTGGTAGGTAGGGGATCCAGTGAGGTTCCTTGGGAAACACATCTACTAGAGTTCATTAGCACCTACAACCCTTCAAAGATTTGGACATATTTAATATAGTGGATTCTTTGTTTTGAACATCTAGAAACATATATCAAAGAGACCCCCACCATGCACACATGCACACCTACCTGCTAGATGCTAGTTCCAAAAAAATCATCCCAAAAACATTATATTTTTGTAGAAGGGAATGCTCTTTTTCCTCAGGAGTAACTGGTCTCAATAGCTAATTTGTGTTTGGGTGGAAATATTTGAAATGTATTATTTCAAGACTATGTTAAAGAGGGCTGGTTTTCAGGTCTGTAGGACAATTGGTAGGCTGTAACAGAAATCCCTCTTAGCCATGTCTACAGGATGGAAAGAAGTTTAGGATAAGACAACTCTCTTCAAACAGGCAGACGGGCATGAGCGTGGAGCTTGAGCACTTTTTAATAATAACAAACCCGATTTGGCACGCCTGTGTTCTCAGTCCTCATGATAAAGAATTAAAGGCAGGCAGTGTTTGTCCCCCACATAAAAAGCCCTTCAGACTGCTTTGTCATTGGCATTTTAGCCTGAAATATCTTGCACCAAGCCTTTTATTAAAAGGGGCAGTAAAGATTTTCTGACCCATAGCACAGTAATTACCTTTCAATATAACGCATAAAAATGTTTATGAAATATATTTATATATTTACATAAATATAAATATATATACATGTCAAATCTAACAAGCCTTTTGAGTGGTGTGGAAGTTTCTCTCTAACCCTTCCAACTCCCCACACCCCCAGTTCCCCTCATGCATAAATCTGCCTTGCTAATCCAGACTAATGAGGACCACAAGGACTTGAGTAAACATGTGAGAAAGGTCATTTGGCCTTCATGCCTGGCTGACTACAGTGTGTGAAGGATTTTGTGGCCATTGTAGTGGTTACTGTGTGTGAAGTGGTTTAGTGCTTTTACTTTTGTTAACCCCCCTCTCTCAAGATGGAGAGTATGTTTTGCATTAAAACTAAGTTTTATATTGCATTTTATAGTGATACTAAATATTTTACTCACTGTGTGTCATGAGATGGTATTAACTCAATGGTATAGCAGCACACTGTTTCTGTAGTAACTGCAGCTTGTGCTATTTGGGTTATGTTTTAAAGTTTCCATCAGGCGTGTTGTCCCATTTGTAAAATTTCCACCCTAGATGACAGCATAGAAATTGACTGCATATATAGTTTTCTCACTTGACTGAAACTTATACTGTAAGTGGCAAATTTTATTTTATCTGTTCAGCACCATTACCATCATCATTGCTCTGAGTCATTGGAAAAAAATGTCCAAAACATTTTCGCAAGCTAAGAAAAAAACTGCCCTGTATTCTGCTTTGACTAAGTGTCTCTTTAGATACTCCAATGAGCTTCAAGGATAGGTTCACATTTTGTCAAGTTTGCTATTACACGTATATTTAATAGTTATTATTAGTCATTGTTATCGTTCTTCCTGCCCATACTGGATGTGAAGAAACCCCATAAATCAATGTATGTTACTCTGTTTCAGTACAATATTCACATATTACATATCTCTTTACATATGGTGTATTTGAGCATGTCAATATTGTTTTAACACTAAAGTAATATTTCCCAGTGAATAAAATGAGCAGTGTTGCCTTAGAGAGATGGAAAGAGAAATTTAGTGAAAATGACATGAAGCAAAAAATACTTCTAGTGGTGACTATTTGGAGTTACATTTACATTGCTTCAGAATGGATTTATATTTTCCTGTGTATGTCGTGTCCAGGTTGCCCAGACGTTCTACATTACCATCAAGCCAGTGGACGACTCCCTGCCTCTGCTCCAGGTTCCTGGTATGAGGGTCCAGGAAGGAGTGAGGAAGACCATCACCGAATTTGAGCTGAAAGCCACAGATGCAGACACTGAAGTAGGACACTGGCTTCACAAATCCCTGAAATGCTTCGGCAACCTTCATTATTTATTTCTCTTTTTAATCAGTTTAGAAAGGAGCAGGACCTCTAAATAATAGTTGGATATCAGCAGCTAAGCTGGCAAAACTAAGCTTTGTAAGCTGGCCTCTGTTGTTTAGAAAGACGGCTGTTCTCTACAGCTTTATTTTCTCTGGCAACAACATTTCAAAGACTATTTCCTGTTGCTTAAAGGAAAAAACCCTGTTAATCCCATCAATCTGCCATCTTTGGTGCACTCCAGGAGTTATTTTGTGATTATTGCAATTTCCTGTCTTCCTGCATCTACTTTCTCTGAACAACCTTGCCTACATCTACTGCAATTACAGATTTTCTCTTTATTTCACAAGATGTCTTTTAAAAGCCACTAAATGTTATGTGGTATACGTATATGTACTAACTTCTAATTATATGTGCTAACAAAGCAAAATAAGAATTGCCTGTTCTTCTAGAAAAGATTTCCCACAGTATGATTGTTGAAGTTGCAAAATAATAATGATGAAAAATTTTAAAAATAAACCCTCACTGTTTCACTGATTCTTACTAACAAACTGACACCACACATAACATACTCAACACTCATTCAAACTGTCTCCTCTCCTCCATTCCTCTCCCTCCATTTTGTTCTGCTAAAACACAACGTTGTCCAGGCGGAGTCCATTGTCTTCACTGTCGTCCAGGCTCCACGTCACGGCACCATAGAGCGCACGGGCAATGGCCAACATTACCGGCAGACCAGCAGTTTCACCATGGATGACATCTACCAGAACCGCATCAGCTACAACCACGACGGCTCCAACTCGCTCAAAGACCGCTTCACCTTCACTGTGGCTGATGGCACCAACCTGCTGTTCATGGTGGAAGAGGGCAGCAAGGAGGTAAAAACGTGCACCTGTGTGGGCTTGTTTTACCATATTTGTGGGGTCCAAAAACAGGGAGCCCATTACACTTGTAGGGTCCGACAGCTTTGTTGGAACCAAAATGCTAGACCCACAGGGTTAAAGGGGCTGTGTGTAGTTTACAGTGGCCCCTAGCGATGAGGTTTTAAATTGCAACCACTGCATTTCAAGCGTGTGCTCCTGCGCGTGCTTGAACTCATGAGGGAGCACTCAACTTTACAGTAATAGTTTTATTAGCATGACATTGAACCACCTTATCCATAATAACGTAGCTGGCTGCCCCTGCCTTGCATCACTATAGGCTAGTATAAACAAATCGTTACATCATTTTTTGCAGGCTAAAATCGACACAATACTGGTACACAGGATAGTAATATGCTATGAAGCAACACTGCATTGTGGCCAAGCAGAATTTACCCTTGGGGACAATAAAGTTAACCTAAACTAACCTAATGTGGATCACGTTAGCTGGTGAAGTAATGTGGAAAGACATACAACTATAGTATTTTGCAATAGATAACATGTTAGATGTCACCCGACATCGATCTGATTCTCGTTTGGCCTTATGGGATTCAACACTTAAAACTTTTTCCTTTTTTGTCCTCACTGGAAGATTGTGTTGCAGTCGGTGTTATGCTGGGAGCTTGTTGTTTTATGGTGTTAGCGGACTCCATTTTGTTTGCTGTGGTGTTGTTGCTGTGTGTACAGTTCACATTCATCAGGCGAGAGGGGCATGCACATGCAGGATATTCATAGTTTTCACTTGACGTCACATTCCAAAGAAAACGCTCCCTTGGAGGGCAAAAAAGACGTTACTTTCCGCTGCCTGCCAACCAGGACCAAGTGATACACTGTTACTTTGAGTTTGTTACTTTTGCGTTGCCAAAAGGCTGGATGGTTGTTGTGCTTTTGGATCCACTAATCGATGAGGAGACAAGCCTGGGCTGTGGTTTTTAACAGCGGGAAAATGGCAGTGGGTGCTGTTTATGGATCGAAAGTACCAACACTTGCAGTTTGTGTCCATATCTACTGTATCTTTTTCTTGAGTTGAAAGGTGATTCAAATAAAATTTAACAGCTTTTGCGGCGTCTCTACGAGGGAGTCCGGTGTGAGCAGCTATCTTGGTCTGTTGTTTTGCCCTCCAGGTCAACACACATGTCACGTGACTGAAAACTATGAATAGGACGTAAAATAGTGGCAGTTCCAAGCAACAGAGAAAGCAGGCATGTTGTTCATTTTTGTGTGAGGTTACAGTCCGTTTACAAATAGACAATAAAAAAGTGATTAACTGATAAGTGATTTCATTGTAAAACTACATAAAGCCCCTTAAAAGTACTGAGAGAGTTAAGACTTGGTTTTAGGGTTAGTGATTTCAAACTTAGTGATGGTTAAGGTTAGGATCAGGGGAATTCATTATCTCAATGACAGCTCCCCATGAATATAGTGACACAAGGCTATAGTGTGTGTGCACTGACATTTTTACCACAGCTGGAAGGCAAAATTTGCAGTCAGATTTTGTGTTGGCGTGTGTGTGTGTGTGTATGAGGCAGCTTCCTGACATTTTTATTACAGCTAGATGATTGAATTAGCAAAGGCCACGGTTGGGTGCGTCTGTGTGTGTGTGTGTGTGTGTGTGTGTGTATTTGATGGTAGATATTGTTGTGTGTGTGTGTGTGTGTCGGGATGTAGGGGTGGTGGAGTCACTGCTCTGACCTTTTTTAATGACGGAAGGGGTGAATCAGCAGTTTGTGTGACTGCTATTATACTTCTCACTTTGTGAGGTGTTTTTTTGAAAAGTGATGCTATTTGGATAAGTGAGGCATTATTTGAAAATAAGGGCATTTTGAAAGGAGAAGACATTTTTGGAAAATTAGAACAATTTTAGAAAAGTGTCTGGAAAGCAACGCAGAGTAGTACTTACACAGTTTAGTGTAGCAGAAGTTTTGTAATTTCTTACTTCTTACCTGATAATCATCTTGCAATCCCTCAGATTCATCTTGCCCTCCCCAGTGGCTTGTTGTCTGGGCTAGACCAGAAACCACTGGTCTAGAATGCATTAAAAGAGGGTCCTCACAAGTATGATCTTCAGTACGTGTGTGCGTTAATGTCAGCTTCATGGCGGTAGTTATAGGTATGTCAATTTAGCCGTCCCTCTCAGCTGCACTCCGCCACCTGTCACTACAAATGGTCCTTGATTAAGTAAATGACAGCAGGCAGGTATTGATATCCCCAGTCACACACACACACACACACACACACACACTCTTCCCAGGCTTGCGTTTATTATCTTTCAATTGCCTGGGTTCATTTGGCTCAATGGTCACACGTGGTCTGCAGCTCAAAAGACGGTTTGTGGCCTTAACGTTGCTGGTGTTTAAGGTGAACTTGTTCCCACTGGAGCTGCCGTGTTATTAAATAATTTATGAGCTCATATAACACCCTTCGGATGAACACATCCTTCAAATGGCACCTGTCAAACTTGGCCTTAACAGCATCTGTGTGATGACAGGCTGCTCTCTCTGTATTCCCTCTTGCACCTCCAACATAATGCTGTAACTAGTAATATTGGAGTAGTTTGTCTGATTTAGCCTGTCATCACATCTTGAAGGGGGATAAATCAATAAAGTAATAACCGGCAGTGCTTTTTTTTGCCCCTATAACATTCAGCCTGTATCCAGTTCATGAGAACTTTTCCATTTCCTTGTTTTAACGACTCATTCTTATCAAAAGGTTGTCTAAACGTTTGTCTGTGTGAAGTAGTTCAAAGGGGAAACTGTTGCACAATGAAGTCTCTATGTTATCCGGTGTATCCATGACAGTTTCTGCAGCCAGATGTTGCTGCTGATTTATTTTGTTGTAATTTTTGGAGCACCACAAATTACACTGTATTCACCACTGTTGCATTGCAGCAATCTGAGACACAAATATCTTAAAACCTGGGTCAAAAGAAACTATTAGTAATTGAGAATTGAGATGTGAATGTGTGATATTTTCGATGAACAGGTCGAGGTCCAACAAGTTTTAAAGGGAATTAAAACAACTTAAGTAGTTAAATCCTCTTTCTTGAGACTGTCCATTAAATTATTCTCGAAAGTATATCCACCATCTTCAAAAATCTATTTTTTATTAACTTTTTTGGGATTGCAGATAGTGACGGCTGCACCACAGAAGTTCAAGATCGATATTCTGCCAGTTGACGATGGCACTCCGCGTATCGTCAGCAACCTGGGACTGCAGTGGCTGGAGTACATGGAAAACAAGGTACAAGATCATCTCTTCATATATGTCTCCCCAAACATACAATACATACAGTTTTTGCTCAGTTTCATGGTGATGTTTAATAGCTGTAAAGGGAGTAATGATGGACCCAGTGATGCAGATCTTATTTTCTAATTAATTTACCTTTTAAATTGCCACAGTTAAGTTGCATTGCACTGAACCTTTAAATACTTCCTTCCTGCTCATTGGTCTCAATTAGAGGACTGTGTTTCGCTGGACATTTTACAGATAAAAAGGTTTGAATGAGCAGGAGGATGTTGCAGAGTGGTCTGCATGCTTAGAAATTTGTCCTTAAGTAAATGTAAATTTTAAGAATGACTTGATTGTGTATAAACAGCTCTGTTTCTTCTCTGGCTGGCTGTATCACAGTAACTTATTAAACATGTTGTTGTGATCGACATAAGTGCAAAGAGAAGCTCTAGCACTGTGCGCTCACAATGTGTAATTTACTTGCTCCCCCTGCTGGTTTGAACACCTCAACACAATGCGACCACTAGTTTCTATGGCAGTCATTGTAGAAATGTCACCTTGTTCATTTATCCTGAGTCTGTGCCATGTTTGCACTGCAGGTAATTTAGTCTTGGATGTTTTATCATGATGACCCAAGAGAATGTAAAAGGGATATAGTTAATAGATCTGCCATCAAATGCTAATTTAAATTCAAATTTAAATTCAAAACAACTACTAATTTCTTCATTTCCTTCCACTTTGGCAAAAACACTTGGAAAACACTTGCTAACTCATTTGCCGTATAATATATTTGGTTATAGTATATTTGCCACTATAAGGTGGTCATTTACAGTAATTTCTGCTTGTGTCCATCAGGCTACCAACCTGATCACCAAGAAGGAGCTGCTGACTATGGATCCAGACACAGATGATGGACAGTTGGTTTACGAAATCACCACAGAGCCAAAGCACGGCTTCCTGGAGAGTAAGCTGAAACCTGGAAACCCCATCACCACCTTCACACAAGGTACACAAGTTCCATGTCATTTTCTGGCCCTAATGTTTCATTTTTACACCAGGTGCAGCAGGTTGTGTTGTTACATATTTTTAAATCCAAGTTTTTTTTATACAGATTCACTGGTTGCCCCTCTTCTCCTCGTCACTCTAGTATTTTTTCTTCTAAGACAATTTACTTTAAAGGATTTCTCAATGCCTGCAGAAGGAAAAGTGTATTGTATTTCAAAAGAGAAAAGCAAAAATTCAGTGTGATTTATTTTTTTTTTACTTTCTTATCCTTCAATCATTTTGGAACCCCTTCTCCAGGTACATGAGGCTTCACTGCCCTCTCCTGTTCATCCTGAGGTGATTCTTAGTATTATGGGTACCACACCAGGAGGAAGTTTTGAATTGGAACTCCACTACATTTTTCTTCACAGTGAGAAGGAGTGTTGAGAGGTCAAGGAAGCGCTAGGAAAGGAAAAAAACTTGGCCCCACATGCCAACCTGCCCAGACTCACTCTTTCCTTCACTGAAAGTTTTCTTCAAAGGCACATCAGCAGCCGTGGGAGTGTTTTTCTTCGAATTAGCAGTGTTCTCATCACGAGCCTGCTTATCTTCACCTCTGGGCTGCAGCCAGGGATCAGTGCCAGGGTGCTTTTGTGAAATGTTGATCCTCTAGGCTGGAGAGCAACTCGAAACACGTCACTTTGACTTTTGGATTTTAGATTTGAAACATGTAAACATAATTTCCTTAATGACAACAAATATCCTATTACTACAATAAACACTTACCCTGAGAGAGGAAAAATGTGAAAATAGATGGTTAGATTTACTAGTACAAACTGTCAGCATCATTCCAGCTGTCAGCATTTACTCTCACATTCTGCCATATGCGCTCAACAACATATTTCTGTTCTGGATATTAGTGCTTAAATTTTCTTATCCTTTGTGGTCCCATTTGGTTATATTTTCTGTTCATCACTACAAGTGTTTATTCTGAGCTTCCTGAAGGTCATTTGAACATCTCTCTAGCTCAGGGACTCTCATCCATTTAATGGCTTGCAGCCCCCAATTACAAAGTACTTTTGTACCTTTTCTCCAACCTCCTCTTGAAGTTATAAATGAGCAGAAATTGTGAACCAATGATGACTTTCATCTTCATTTTCAAGTTTTTTATATGTCTCTCAAGTGATGAGAAAAGGGCTGGAGGCTGCAAATTATGGAATCATTATTTCACAGAAAACTCATTCTTCACAGTGATTTGTATAATTAAAATTCGATCCCTGTAGGGACATTATGTTTTTGGTTGTCCCCTTACGCACAGTAAGGTACATGCTGGGTAAAGATCAGTGCAAATTGTCTTGTAGGACAATTGTTTAATTCTGGTTCCCTCTGCTAAATGCCTACTGCAATGTTCTGTGACATTCTTTTGACTTTCCATGTTCTTGTGTGTAATGTGTGATGCATATGATAGACTTTCATTCCCTTTGTGACCTCAACATCTGTAAAAGAAGAGAAACAATAACTAAATCAGTGAAATATAATATAAATATAGAATGTTTGTTCATTATTAATCTGTTCCTTTCTAGCTGATGTAAACTTGGGTCTGATCCGCTACGTGCTGCATCAGAAGAACGTTCAGGAAACCATGGACAACTTCAAGTTCCTGGTCAAAGACAGCAAACCAAACGTGGTCAGCGACAACGTCTTCCACATCCAGTGGTCACTCATCAGCTTTGAGCACAAAAGGTCCGTAATATGTGTGAAGCTTTTACCAAAACCAACTGTTCGCCATACATGTACCTTTCCAGCATCCTTAAGTAAGATAACCTGATGGTTCCACAGCTACAATGTGAGTGAGAAGGCCGGCACGGTGGCTGTGACGGTGAAACGAACAGGTAACCTCAACCAGTACGCCATCGTTCTCTGCCGCACCGAGCAGGGCAGCGGCACCTCCACCAGCAGCGTCGGATCTCGTCCGGGCCAGCAGGACTATGTGGAATATGCTGGACAGGTAACTGTGCTTTACCAATGTAATTTATTTTATCGTTTTGTTTTCATTGTTGTTTAGGAAATTTTAAAAACAAAACAACAAAATGTCAAAGCTTCAGCTGCCTCTTCTTCCTTTGGCTCATCATCCATAACTGTTGGTTGAACGAACCTTGACATCCAGTACGCACGTATTGACCAGTACCACAATGTGTCCTGTTAATTCACAGGTACAGTTTGATGAGCGCGAGGACACCAAAGTGTGCACCATAGTGATTAACGATGACAAGGTGTTTGAGGGAACTGAAAGCTTCCACGTGGAGCTGAGCATGCCTGTGTATGCGCTGCTGGGCGGAAACACGCGTGCCATCGTCAACATCAACGACACAGAGGACGAACCAACTCTGCAGTTTGATAAAAAGACCTACCACGTCAACGAGAGCACTGGCTTCATCCACGTACCCATCGAGAGAAAAGGTGAAGAACTGCAGCCCTGTTAACCTTTTTAACTTCTTCCTATTTAATTTCCCCCTTTTTATTTAACCAAAAGGGACTTTGCCTTTTGCAGATTCTACATCTGCTTGCTGCGACACTACATTGAGGCCATATGATGCTTTCACTGAGTGATGTATTCATATTTGAGGCATTTGAAGATAAAAATGCTACACAGTTTGTGCAATTTTCTTTACTGATATACTTGTATGTCAGTCAGAGTTAAATAAGGCATGGAGCACAAAACATACCAACCAAAGTTAAACTAAATCCAAGCAAACATGTCTATAATTTGGCACAGAGGGCAGTGACTAAAACCCCAAACAAAACAAAGATAAGCTATACCATCATGTTTAAGTATGAACTCTGATGATGTCATGGCCAACATTTCCTCTCTTGCCTCATTTCCACTCAGGTGACACCTCCAGCACCGTGTCTGCTCTCTGCTACACCGTGGGCAAGTCAGCTCAGGGCAGCAGCCTCCACGCTCTGGAGTCCGGCTCCGACTACAAGAGCCGCGGCATGACCAATGACAACCGCGTCATCTTTGGCCCCGGCATCAGCATGTCCACCTGTGACGTTAAGCTCATCGACGACAGCGAGTATGAGCTGTCTGAGGAGTTTGAGCTGGTGCTTTCAGACGCCTCGGATAATGCCCGTATGGGGGACGTGACGCTGGCCAAGGTCGTCATCGATGGACCCAACGATGCTTCGATGGTTTCTCTTGGGAACGCCACCTTTACTTTCAGTGAAGATGCTGGTATAAGCTGTTTTCTAACATCCACCTGTACACCAAGTAGTTCTTTTTTCCTTCTGCATTTTCCTAGAAGTTTGCAGTGTTTCTCTATCGCCAAGAGAAATTCTTATTAAATTATGGCACACTCTCTTTTCAGATGTCACAGCTTAGCTTTACTATTTAAGAGACATGTGTAAATTTAATGATGTCCATGGGGAAATTAGGAAGGTGCCAAAAAGAGAAATTTCATAACAGCTATATCCAAGGATGTAGCATTAGTTTCTTGCCAGTAGTGCAATGTCTGTGGACCCCCTACCCTTTCCAAAGTTATTTACAAAACACTATACATGAAACAGAATGTAAGCATACTACCTGAACATTTACGTAGACTATTATATTGTTTTTACAGTTAGTCGTTACATGGCAGTCTGTCACATTTTAGCCTTTTAATTTCTTTTGGAACAGAGAACACATTTTAAAGTGGGAAACACAGGATTGATAGATGCCTTTTGTAATAATTTTATTGTCTTAAAAGCAAATGTCATACATTACTCGGTAGAAAGATTTATGTTAACAGAGTCCTGCTATAAATACACCTCCCACTCCATCTCTCTGTCAAGCCTCTTCTGCTCTCAATCAATCACTGAGTCTCTCTCTTTTCTTTTGGTGGTACTCTGCTATAGCTTTAATCTTGGATAAAGGAATCAACCATGCAGCATTGAACAGTCTTCATAATTACGCTCAGCAAAATTAGCTGCAAAATTCAGTTTCTCTGTTAATGTATTCTGCTACTATTAGTTCATGACTTAAATTACTTTAGAATTGCAGACCAAAGCAGACTTTGGTTACCTAACACTGTGGCTGTCATTTCTGTATCATTTCTATGCCCTAATAAAATGCCCCAATAAAATTCTGCTACTTTACATATTTTTTAAACCTGCATTTCATTCAGGCACAATTGAAATACCAGTGCTGCGCCATGGCAGTGACCTGTCCTCTGTGACTTCTGTATGGTGTGCCACCCGACCTTCAGATCCCCCCTCAGCCAGCCCGGGGGTCGACTACATCCCCAGCTCCAAGAAGGTGGAGTTCAAACCTGGAAAAACTGAGGAGGTAAGGACAGAGACATCTCACCTACAACAAAAACATATTAAACTAAAGACAAGGTATCCTACTTCTGTTCCCTTAAGACAACAGACCTGGTCTAGGACACCTTTAAAATCCTTGTAAACGCTCTTGCTTCCTTTTTACAGACCTGCAGTTTGACCATAATGGACGACATCCAGAACCCGTCCATCGAAGGATCTGAGTCTTTTGTGGTATTCCTCAGTTCCCCGCAAGGTGCTGTCCTCCAAGAGCCCTATGAAGCCAACGTTGTCATCACTGACACCTTCCAGGACAGTATGTACACACAATAATGACTTAACATTCACTTAAAATCAAATATGCATTAAAAAAATTTATTTCAGGCTTCTGACATCACATATGCCTTATGAATGATTGATATCTCAATTACATTTACCAGTACTAAGAATTTAGAGTCAGCTTTCTCACAGCCATCATCTCTCCTCTCAGTTCCCAGCATGCAGTTTGAGAAGAGCGCCTACATTGTGAAGGAGAAAGACAGTGTCCTGCACATCCCCATCATCCGTACAGGTGACCTGTCCTTCAAGTCATCAGTGCGGTGTTTCACTCGGACCATGTCGGCCATGGTGATGGACGACTTTGAGGAGAGGAAGAATGCTGATGAGTCACGCATCACTTTCCTCAAAGGAGAGAAGGTAGAATTTTGTCCAAAATATCTAGATCAAGTCTGTTAGTATCTTTTTTTTTTTTGTCAGTTACCTGCCCATTCACATGTTTTGTTTTATTGCCCAGGTAAAAAACTGCACCGTTCACATCAATGATGACTCTGTTTTTGAGCCCGAAGAGGAGTTCCAGGTGCATCTTGGGACACCGCTTGGTGACCACTGGAGTGGCGCCATGGTGGGCGCTAGTGACATTGTCACTATCACTATCACCAACGATGAAGATGGTAAGCAGGCGCCTCATATGTGATTTACAGCAGATTTGTTTGCTGTTTGCTGGTGTATAGACGTAGTCTCTGAAATAATGTGGCTCCTGAGTTTTGTTCATGAAAGAAAATGTTTGGTAGGATTTGATTTGTCTAAATTTCATGAAAGTAATAGATCATGAGAACAGCCTCAACTAAACTCAGATATTAGTTTTATTTAAATATCAGATATGTTGTTGTTGTACTATAAGTAGAGATGCCAAAAGGTTTTCTGTAATATAACTATTCAGCATTGCTTTTTGAGAAGTGAGAAAAAACATTTTCTGTGATCAGTTCTGTAAGTGTGATCTAAATAGTTTGGGCAGTTGTTTCTAGTCAAAAGAAAGACATGACAGCAATGTTACACGACTCACTAACAAACAATATGTACCTTGTGTTTAGAGTGCATGAAGAGATTGAAACTAAGAAAAACTTGAATGCTTTTAGTCCTGTTTAGAAAATGGGTTAGTGGTGCACTTCAGCCTCAAAATTTAGGAATTTAGAAAGATTATCCTGGCAGAACCTTAAATTTACCTGTTCTTTGGTCATAAACACAAGAAAGAAAACAATTTAGATCAGACTTTGCACACAAATAAATTTTTCTCTATTGTTTTTACGTTTTTTGTTTGGTAACAAACTTCACCATGTTAACCCTTCATCTTTGCATGTCTCTTAGGGGTTCCTGTATATCTTGTATTCTGTAGATACACAAGCTAAAACTAATTCAGCCAACAGCCAACCTCACTAAACGTCTATCCTTATTGATAAAAGGGGGTGGATACATTTTAGAAACAGCCCTCAGTGTAAAATAATAAAGTTCAACAGTACCACAAACTAAAGCCTACGAAAATGACCACACAGTGGAATCAACACCTCTCTAAAACAGTTAATTTCAACACTTCATGAAGGGAGTATTTTTTTCAGGACTGTTGTATGTGACTTCATTAGTTTTTTTCTAGATGTACCAAAAAAAATGGCTACTGAGGTGTACTGTATCTCTTAATGTGCAAAGCACTACATAAAGTCAGTGACACATAAGTAACAGGGCAGCTCTGTGACCTTTCGTCCTCTTCTGTTTCTCCAGCTCCAACCATTGAGTTTGAGCAGGCGTCCTACCAGGTGAGAGAGCCACCTGGTCCAGATGGCATTGAGGTGCTTGACATAAAGGTGATCCGTCGGGGGGATCTGGACCGGACCTCCAAGATCCGCTGCAGCACCCGGGACGGATCGGCCCAGTCTGGAGTGGACTACAATCCCAAGAGCCGAGTGCTTAAATTCACCCCTGGTCAGTGCTTAGAATTACAAGTTATGTACAACTGTGTTTGTAAATCTAGAGACTAAATATGGCTTAAAATTCTGCCTTTGCTTCACTTTGTAGGGATGGACCATTTCCTGTTCAAGGTGGAGATTCTGTCCAATGAGGACAGGGAGTGGCACGAGTCCTTCTCATTGGTCCTCGGACCTGACGACCCTGTGGAGGCGGTACTCGGGGAGATCACTATGGCCACAGTGACCATTCTGGACCAGGAGGCTTCAGGCAGCCTCATCCTCCCTGCCACGCCTATTGTACGAAATGTTAAATGTAACATGTCTGCTTTGATAATGACACACGCACAGAACAACATAAAGATGAACAGCAGGACAAACTGCTACACAACACGTATTTGGCAGCTTTTTGAAGGACTGCTTGTGACTTCAACAGAGAACGTAAGCTTTTGTCTGTTCCAGCAGTGCTCAGAGTGTAACATGTTTTTAGCGCTTCAAGTGCCTGGAGCTAGAAACCAGAAACGCCTCCACTCCAAACAAAAGCACTCCTCTCCTCTAATACATATTCAGTAACTCCAAAACAGCAGCAGGAAACATGGGCAGCATTTTCCTTCAGGCGTTTGTTTACAGGCTGTTACATTTCTTTTGCATTTAACCAGAACCACTTACATTGAGGACATCAATTCAGCTATGTTCAAATGCCATTTAAATAAAATGTGGTGTGTGATTTGACCCCAAATGCCTTTCAGTTCCTCAACAGGAATCTCATCTGTGTTTGTGCTCTACTCAAATCATCTGGACGGTGTTCAAATAGAAACAATGACAGAAAGATGAAAAGAAAGTAGAATTTCAAGCAAATAAAATGTCATCATTACCCATCCTCCTTCCTCCTCAGGTGGTGTCTCTCGCCGACTATGATCATGTCCAGGAGGTGACAAAGGAAGGCAGTAAGAAGACGCCCTCTCCAGGTTACCCTCTGGTGTGTGTCACCCCCTGTGACCCTCACTACCCCAAGTACTCTGTGATGAAGGAGCGCTGTGAGGAGGCAGGCATCAACCAGACCCAAGTTCACTTCTCCTGGGAAGTGGCGGCACCCACCGACACCAGCGGCGCTCGGTCCCCCTTTGAGACAGTCACAGACACCACGCCGTATACCAGCGTCAACCACATGGTGAGTTGGGATCTCTGAAAAGGAATAGATGGAGCCAAGATGATCACTGCCAAAACATCAATAACAAATGATGTTGGCTTTGGTCTCACTCACCCTGCCTGCACTGCTGTCTCTCTCAGGTCCTGGACAGTATTTATTTCAGCCGTCGCTTCCACGTTCGCTGCGTTGCTCAGGCCAGGGATAAGGCTGGTCACCTTGGAACGCCGCTGAGAAGCAACATCGCCACCATCGGCACAGAGGGCTCCATCTGCCACACGCCGGTTACCACGGGAACCGCCAGAGGCTTCCAGGCTCAGTCCTTCATCGCCACACTCAAATACCTGGACGTCAAGCACAAGGAACACCCCAACCGGTGAGAAAGGACAGATGGATGGTGGCTTTTTAAATTGCATAAACCAAAACTGTTTTTGTTAATTTTCTTTCCTGCCCTGTGTGTCCTTGTTTAGTATCCATATTTCAGTGCAGATCCCCCATCAGGACGGCATGCTCCCCCTGGTGTCCACCATGCCGCTGTACAACCTGCATTTCCTCCTGTCAGAGTCCATCTATAGGCAGCAACACGTCTGCTCCAACCTTGTTACCCTCAAAGACCTACAGGGTCTTTCCGGTCAGTCACACACACTCCCATAAACACACATAAAACAGGGGAGGAAACATGAAACAGGATAAAACTCATGGTGAACTCTGTATTAGGGAGAGTTATCATCTGGTATTTCGACACCAAGCTGAAATACTTCTTATGTAGTTATCTGTTATGTAATATAACTTGTAAAATGGATTAGAATGGTGGTTAAACATTAACCAGATCTTTGTTTAAATCAGAAAATATTGTTTTCTGTGGACTTCTAAGATCTTTTTCTGCTAATACAAACTTTGACAACATTCCTCCACAGAGACAGGTTTCCTGGACGATGTGTCCTACGACAGCATCTCTCTGGGGCCGGGTTATGACCGCCCCTATCAGTTCAACCCAAACGTCCGCGAGGCCAAGAGCATCCAGCTCTACAAGCACCTCAACCTCAAGAGCTGCATCTGGACCTTTGATGCTTACTACGACATGACCGAGCTCATCGACGTCTGCGGGGGCTCAGTCACCGCTGATTTCCAGGTACATCAGACCGTCAAGAGCACGTTCTTTCTGTGACCACCGAAAATCTATCAATTAGAACTACTTAACTACGTAGCAGATGCCTCGACTGAGTAGCTTTCCAACCTGATCTGGATCATCACCAAAATGTAATCAATTATTTATAAAACTCCCCTCAAGGTCCACTATTAAGTTGTTCTGGGGCTTTTGACCCCAATGTCACACTGTCTTCATCATTACATGTTTGGTCACTTGTCATGGAATTGTTCACACTTTACATTATTCTGAGCACTTTGAAAGTCCATTCTTGGCCATGAAAACAACATGCACCATACCATCCGAGTCTCCAGAACGAGCAAGTGAATAGAGATTTTGTCAAATGATGTTTCCAAGGTGAACTATAAAGCTCAATCAGTTGTTAGTCTCACAGAAGTATACCAGCTTTCTAGAAACAAATTAAAAGTCATAAGATCCTTGGCGGAGACAATAGGAGAAATATGGAGAAAATGTTGCATGACATATACACCACAAGAACTCAAGTACTCAATCACAGCAGGTGCTCAAATCCTTATATGACCTTCTGAGGGTTCCCAGCCCCCAGGTGCAGAACCAATATAAACAAAGCTGCTGTTCTTCCAGGTTCGGGACTCTGCCCAGTCCTTCCTGACGGTGCAGGTACCTCTCTATGTGTCGTACATCTACGTGACGGCACCGAGAGGCTGGGCCTCTCTGGAGCATCACACCGAGATGGAGTTCTCTTTCTTCTACGACACCGTACTCTGGAGGACAGGTCAGGAAACTGACTTTATCGCTTTATGAGCAAATCATAAAATGAAGTCACTGCAAGGCATCCATTATGCATTTCTTCTGGATCCACTACATACACTTTTAAAGTTTAACCTACTCTGTGTATCGCAAAACAAAGAGTCTCTTCCAAATGATTATGAGAACATTTATTGCAGCTTTTGAAAGCAAATCATTTTTATCTTTCCAGGCATTTATTGTGAAAACGGAGCAGAAGAGGTTCAGGATGAAAATCCACAACTTTATACAGTTTACATGCTTTTTTAAAACTTTCTTTTAAGATTAATTTAGGGATGGATTTGGTCCCTGTTTGCAAACATCTGACACATTATGTGAAATGATCAGAATCCATATATGCTGTTTTATTTAACAAAACTAAACCAGTGTTTTAATCTCGACCTCGATCTGACCTTTGACACCCTTGGCTGGTGCTTCCTGTCTGCAGGTATCCAGACTGACAGCGTCCTCTCAGCCAGACTGCAGATCATCAGGATCTACATCAGAGAAGACGGACGACTGGTGATTGAGTTCAAAACTCATGCAAAATTCAGAGGTCAGTTCAGTACATCCACCACAACATTTCATATGTTTTGGGTCAGACAGAAGTCCATACCTCCTTGTTTTTTCTTTAGAAGGTGTCTGCTGTCGTATTAATACAACAAATGTACTTAGAAGACTGATGGACAAAGAGAACAGAGGGTTATTTTGGTGTCATATTTCCAAATTTCCTTCCTCCAGGTCAGTTTGTCCTTGAACACCACACTCTGCCGGGCCACAAGTCCCACCTGATGGCGCCCGACCACCTCGGAGGCATCGAGTTTGACATACAGCTGCTGTGGAGCGCTCAAACCTTTGACTCACCATACCAGCTGTGGAGAGCCACCAGCTCCTACAGCAGGTCAGTCGGTTCATCCACAGCCGTAATCAGAAGGGGTGAAGGAAGGCTACCATTCGTTTTTCAATCACACTGACATTTCTCAGTTCAGCTGGATGGGAAATATGATAGTGGTTCAGTTAGTAGTTTTTAGTAAATGTTGATCATTTGCTCAACAGTGACATTTAAAGTAAAGAACAAACGTAACCAAATTTGATTTAAGATTTAGGAAAACATAAACATCAGGATATTGGGAACTTTCAGACCTTTTTAGGGTAGGATTTCTCCAGGGAGCCTCAGACAGTTCCTTGTGGAACAACTAGAATGTCACTTTATGTGGAAAACCTTAAGTCAATGTTTGACTTCTGATTTCTTTAATCATGCTCCTTTGGATTCAGAAGATCAACCCTTTGATCCTTCATTGTAACTCACTGTGCATTGGTAATAACCTTTCTGTGTTGTCTTAATGTGTATCCTTCAACAGGAAGGACTATTCTGGGGAGTACACAGTCTTCTTGATCCCCTGCACTGTCCAGCCCACTCAGCCCTGGATCGACCCCGGTGACAAACCTCTGTCCTGCACGGCTCACGCTCCAGAGAAGTAAGTCCCTGCTTGAGTCCAAACTCTTGTGGTTTGATGACGACATATTTTAGGGAGCCAGGTCACATGAAACCTGTACTGTCTTGCTGTTCTCCGTCAGGTTTCTGGTGCCGATCGCCTTCCAGCAGACCAACCGGCCTGTTCCTGTGGTTTACTCCCTCAACACGGAGTTCCAGTTGTGTAACAATGAGAAGGTGTTCATGATGGACCCGGCTACCGCTGATGTGTCTATGGCTGAGATGGACTACAAGGGAGCATTCTCCATGGGTATGACAGGAGAGAAACAGAACTAACCTTCTTGAAACAGCCTTTTAGAAATATTTTCTGAAGAGCAATGAGCTGCTTTTTGATTTAAAATGGTCATATATGTTCATTTTCAGGTTCAAAATCCTATTTAGAGGTCGTACCAGAACAGGTTTACATGGTTTCATTTTCAAAAAACTCCATATCTTTGTCATACTGCACATTGCTGCAGCTCCTCTTTTCACCCTGTGTGTCGAACGCTTCGTTTTAGCTATGGAATGGTGCATCTTACTTGTATAAAATCTTGGGAGTTGCACATGCGCAGTTCATAGATACGGACTTCTAGCTAATCAGAAGCAAAGTAGGGCAAGTCATGAGAAGCCTCTTCGGCGTAGATTAAGCTGTATATGTTCCCCTTACCATCTTAGCAACATGGACTGGAGCAAGAGTTTCAGAGTGGTGATTTATTAATCTGTAACAAATGTATCTTTCATCTATAAAGTTTTAACTGAGCTCTGTCTCTTCATCACAGTGACAACTTTATGTCCATTGACTGCCTGGAGGGTAGCTAGTGTTTGGAAGGGAGAGGAGAGGCAGTAGGCGGTTGTCTTGTCACTGTCTGCTGCAGCTCAGTGTCGGATTAGCCGCAATGGCGAGCATTATGATGCGTGTTTCTCTGTGTCGTCACAGGGATCAAAGGAAAACGGCTGTGCTACAAACGAGCTGTTTTCAAGCAGTTCAGAACAGAGTTTTCTGTGGGAGATGGAACTCTCTTTGGGGTGGACTTTGGGCTTTTTCACTTTGCAAACCTATTACATGCACAAAAACGCATAATATGACCTCTTTAAATAATTTTAGGAGATTCTCTACTGACCTTTCTCTGAATTTTAACAACACACTGTCCTGCTTTGTTTCTTACATCCATATCCTGGTTATGAATCATATTCTTTCAGCCATATACAAACAAATCCTGTTCATCATAAAACCTGCAAAAGACCGGTGTAGGATCTGAATTTATTTCATGTTATCAGTTACTAAGAAGTTCTTACCAAGATAATGTTGTAATCTTGACTTCTTCTAAGTCACAGATCAAGAATTCTTGAGGTTTATGCAGAAGAAACTGAAACATTTTTATGCACTTCTACAAATAAAATAAAAACCTGTCCTGATCTGTCTGCTGCCCCCTGCAGGTCAAACTCTGTATGGCAGAGTATTGTGGAACCCTGAGCAGAACCTGAACGCAGCCTACAAACTGCAGCTGGAGAAGGTTTACCTCTGCACTGGCAGGGACGGATATGTTCCCTTCTTTGACCCCACAGGAACGCTGTACAACGAGGGGCCACAGTACGGCTGCATCCAGCCCAACAAGCACCTGAAGCATCGCTTCCTACTGCTGGTACAAATATATATTTTCTTTACTCTGGTCTGGGGTACATATTTAAAGACCGTTATTCAAAATACTGCCACCCTCAGGTCAAATATCATTACCATAATCAGTATTATTTTATTTTTAATGTTACCTTTGTTTTACCTGGAAGTCTCATTGAGATCAAAAATCTCTTTTACAAGAGAGACCTGGCCAAGGTAGCAGCCATACATAAACACATATTAAAATGCTACAAAAAAATACATAATGTCTCCTTCACCACATTCTTTATGACGCTCTTAAATTTATCAATTGATATACACGTTTCTAATTTAAGATCTTTTTGCAAATTATACCATGCCCAGGGAGCATAGTATGAAAATGCAGTTTTCCCCAGATCTGTCAAAACCATGGTTACATTAAAAAGCAACCACTTGGAGAAGCGTATCTGTTAACTAGTAGGACTGAGACAGAGAAGGGTATAGAGGTAAGCTGGAAGTTTACCTAGCATGCCTTTATGTATAATAATATGCCAGTGCTGTTGTGTCTGCGGGTGGTCAGTGATGTCCAACCCACCAGATCATAAAGAATGCAATGGTGAATGAGGGACTTTACATTTGTAAAAGATGGAGGAGGCTCAGTGCATATAATATGTCACCATAGTCAATCACAGACAGAAAAGTAGCTTCCACAAGTGTTTTTTTGGCATTGAAATTAAAGCTAGATTTATTTCTAAAATAAAAGCCAATCTTCTTAGCTTCCTAACTAGATTAGGAATATGTATTTAAATAAAAGTTTGTTGTTTATCCATATACCTAAGTACTTGTATGTGGGCACCCTTTCAATGGATTTACCATCAGACGTAAAAATGCAAAGATCAGCAAGCAACTGTAGGAGAGCTTTTGAGAAGACCATTCGTTTTCTGAGGATTTAAAACCAGTTTTAAAATGAGCAGAGCAGTTTGTAATGACTGAAATGCAATCTGAAGCTCTTGCACAGCCTGTGCTATGGAAGGAGCATGTGTATAAATGACAGTGTCATCAGCATAGAAGTGTATTTTTGCTTGAATGTCCTTACCTAAGTCATTTATAAAAATAGAGAACAGAATAGGTCCCAAAATAGACCCCTGTTTTCTGTCTAAGGCACCATAAGATCGTTTATTACCACCATAGCAGCAGTAATAAAAAAGGATCCAGATTGTTGGGACCTGCAGGTTTTTTGTGGTCAATGTCTTTCAGAGCTTTACAAATTTGAGCAACAGAAATAGTTTTAAAATCAAACAAATCCAGTTTTCTATCATTTGCAGCTCGGCAGAATATGGGACAGGTGCATTTACATTTGCTGTCAACTGCAGACCCAGCACAGATAAAGTGTTTGTTTAACTGACTGAACATTGCAGCTTTATCCTTTATTTCATCTGAGCCAACCAGAATATGTTCAGGGAGGCTTGAAGCAATATGTGTACCTGACATGGTTTTAATTACTTTCCAGAATATTGCGGGGTTATTTGGATTCTCTGTAACTGTCTTCAGATAAAACTCTGATTTGGAATTTCTTATCATCAAGGTGCACTTGTTCCTTAGGGTTCTAAACGTAGTCCAATCAGCAGAGGTGAGCCACATAAGGGTAATCAGAGAAAACATACCTCAAAGCCCGTTGGGGACAGTTGCACAACGTTTCAAGGAAACATGTCGTTCAACCTGCAAACCGCAGACAACGGTGCCAAATGTTTTCAGACTGAACACGCTTCTGCTGTTGTTTCACAATAAAATACTTTCTTTGCTAGAAGCCTTTTAATGTGAAATGGATACAGTAGATGTTGAGTCATTAAGAGTACTAGTGCAGTGCCTGTTCACAGGGGCTGAAGTGACACCTCCCTATGCTTTTAAACTGTGCAGTGCTTGTTCAAAATGTGTCGTTTCACCTACAGCATTAATGACAGTTCAAAGCCTGTGGGTTATTTAAATTACTGACGTTGTTGTCGTTGACAAACCATCGTAATCTGCAGCAGAAATTCTCCACTCGGTCAGAAGCTGTGGAATTATACCTTTCATCTACACTATTTTTAGACAGCGTTGAAGACAATTCTTTCTTGAATGTCACCATATAGAGCCATTGGTTGAGTTCATTATTTACATTTTTTGTAACTTCCAACAGGTAGATAAGGAACAAACCTGACTTTTTCAAAAGAAAACTTTGTGCCATAGGAACATACATTGACTTTAAAGTGCTCTGATTATTTTCTCTCTTCATGTTTCCTCTGCAGGATCGTAAACAGCCAGACGTTTGTGACAAATTTTTCCATGATGTTCCCTTCGAGGCTCACTTAGCGTCAGATATCCCAGAGCTGCAGTCCATGACAGCCATGCCGGGCGTCGACGGCTTTACAATGAAGGTTGATGCTCTCTACAAGGTGTGTGGAAACACCTGCGCTACATCATGTGTTGTGTTGAACTTCTTCCCCCATTGAGTGATTTGATGGACGTTTACTTCCTGAATTCAGGTTCCCATAGATATATTTTAGGGATTATTATTTTCATGGGGAACAAGACTAGTAGCTTTTATGTTTTAATTGTGTAAAGTCAACTTTACATGAGCATACAGACCTGGATATTGTGGACTTATTTTTGAGAAATGTTGATGTTTATCTGTTTAGCCAACTTCCCACAAGCTTAAATGAGCTTCCACCAATCAGAGACTGTTACCATGAACATGTTACCTAATTTAAAGTGGAATAGTGGCAGTTGCATTGTGGGTAATGTAGGCAACAACTTTTCTCCAATTGTCTGCATTGA